CCCTCCCCACTCCCAGTCGCCGGTTTTCCAGATGCCGGACGCTGTCTGACCTGTCGTCTGGTCTTCTCTGCTTTCCAGATGGCCACCACCTCTGGGAGGCCGAGGCCCAGGTGGAAAGAGACGCCTCCAAACCCGTAAGTCGCAGCCGGGATTTAAGTCCGATGTGTAAAGCAGCTGCTCTCCGTAGTGGATCTGAACCCGGTGCCAAAAGGTTGACATTTAAAAAGGAAACTGACTCTGACTCTGAGTCAGGGACAGTGGGGGGAACAGCATCCTGCTGCAGTCAGACAGCTTCACAGATGCTCTTGTCTCCCCTCATAAAAGCCTAAAAAATCCAACAGCAGAAAACTTTACGAAAAGAATAAAAATAAGCATGAAAATGTTTTATAATGAGTAACACAAAGTGGGGGAATGATTATGTGATTATATTATATCCATTTCAAAATCGTATTAATTTAAAATCCTTTAAATTCAGCTTTATTTATAGCGAAAAATCACAGCAAATGTCACCTCAAAGGGGTACGTCAGAGATGAAGTCCAGTTCAGTTAAAATCAGATCAGAGCCAGTTAAAAAGGTCCAATTGTCCCCCTAAATGTGATTTAAAAAAACAAATAGAAAATACACAAACAGAGGAATTAACTAACCAGCACCTGTCAGAGGAAGTTAGCCAACAGCTAAAGAGGAGCCAGTGCTTCAGATTGGTCCAAAGAAAGAGAAAGCGGCTCGTTTACATCTGCTGGCAGCTGGGAGGACAGGAAACACACAACTTTGACCTTTTTATCACCGTCCAATAGGAGCTCTGCTGATGCTGAGCTCCCTTAAAGGGGCCACGCTGCTTCTTCACCCAGGAAGGAGTCGGGGTCTCAGTCTGAGCCCAAATATGAGCAGGGAGCCGGAAATGGAGCTGATAAGGCTGTGTGGAGCTTATGGGAAACATCTGTCTGCTGGGACACATCTGTATGGAGTGAGTTGGACACATCTGTCTGGAGCCAATCGGAGACATCATTCTGCTGATGGGACACATCTGTCTGGTGGGACACATCTGTCTGCTGGGACACATCTGTGTGGATCTTATTGGAAACATCTGTCTGCTGGGACACATCAGTCTGCTGAGACACATCTGTCTGCTGGGACACATCTGTGTGGATCTTATTAGAAACATCTGTCTGCTGGGACACATCAGTCTGGATCTAATGGGACACATCTGTCAGGAGCTACTGGAACACATCTGTCAGGAGCTACTGGAACACATCTGTCTGCTGAGACACATCTGTTTGCAGCTGGGACACATCTGTCTGGAGCTAATAGGACACATCTGTCTGGATCTAACGGGACACATCTGTCTGGAGCTAATGGGACACATCTGTCTTTTGAGACACATCTGGGCTAATGATGATGAAACAAAAAACTAAAAAATGCTAAATACTAATACTAAAAAAAGTACTAAAGAAAAGACAAACAAATAAAAGATACTAATACCTAAATACTTATACTAAAAAAAGTTTTTTAAAACATAGCAAAATGAGTATTGATCCATAAGTTTTTATTTGAGCTATTTGGACACATTTTACATTCAAACAAATTACTCTCACAGAGTTTGACCTGTGCAAACTAATGGTAAATCTAGTCCTTAATTTTTTATTATTGAACACATTATTGAAAACTGGACCCATTTGCTTGTTTTTAAGTTGTTTTTAAGTGTAAGTTTTTTGTAAAAAAGAGCTCTTAAAGCTACATTTTTACCCACTTTACTTCTGTTTGTTAATCAGGAATGTCTGTTCAGCCACTGAAACTCAGGGTGGATGAGGGTGGAGAACATGAAGCTTTTTGGGAAATCACAAGTCGTTTCTGTTGCTGTGTTGCAGAACTCGCTGCTGGTGGAAATCCCTCCATACAGGAACCAAAGGCTGTCCACTCCAGTCCACGTTAACTTCTACGTCTGCAACGGGAAGAGGAAAAGGAGCCAGTGCCAGCGCTTCACCTACGTCCCAGCCAGCGGTAACTCCTCCATCTTCCCGCCGGCGAACAGTGGTGGGGTTTCTCCCCATTGGACTGTGAGAGTTCACAGTCCGAGGGGGCCGAAACCAGCCAGACGGCGGCTCCCAGCTGCCTGTTTTCTGTGATAAAACCACTCTGGCTCAGGCTTTTTCTGCTCTTACAGCCTGAGATAAAGAACGTCTCGTTTAAAGAACAGAATGGGGATGAAAAGAGGATAAAGACAGACCCCACCATGGCGTTTCTGACCCAAAGGTTAGGAACTTTAATTGGCTTTATGTGGAGTTTTATCCCAAAAATCTCCAGCTAAGAGAAGAGCTAAGCTAAACATTTAACAGTTCTACAAATACAATGAAAACTCCCATGCATGTAAGAGGCTTTCAGGGAGTTTTGGGTCATTTTGAGGTGGCTGAACCCCCCAAAGCAGGCCAAAGAAAGCAGGCCTTGCCTCTCTCTGTTTGTTAGATATAAAAAAGCCAAGGTGGCTGTCAGGCTGTGACCTCTCATCCCCCATTTTGCCCTCTTTCTGCCCTCTTTTTGCGGTCTTTCGGCCCTTTTTCTGCCCACTTTGTGCCCTCTTTCTTCCCTTTTTTATGCCCACTTTGTGCCCTCTTTCTTCCCTTTTTTTGCCCTCTTTCTTCCCTGTTTTTGCTCTCTTTCTGCCCTCTCTCTTCTCTCTTTTTGCCCCTCACCGTCCTGCCACCGCTCATCGCTCACATCCAGACAAATTGGAAACATTTTTCATCTGAAGACGAGAGAACAAACAGTATCGTATTCTTCTGGTCTGGCGGTTTGTTTGGGAGGAACAAAGCAGCCTTATTATCCCATCTTGTAAAAAGAACTCCATAAAATCTGTTCTTTTCCATACCTGTAGCTGCTCCCGGGGGCGGGGCCAGGGCCATGGGAAAGGCCGCTTCTTTCAATAGAGAACTTCTTGCCAAGCTAAATATAAGCGCTGAAAGGGAGAAACCGCTGCTAATGGAGCTCCAGGCTGGGAGCGAAAATCCAGTGGGCGGTTCAAAGCTGCCATTGAGCTAAAGGCGCGGCGCCATCCATCCATCCATCCATCCATTTTTATAACCACTTATTCCCTAATGGGGTCTCGGGGGGGACTGGAGCCTATGCCAGTAATCAATGGGGAGAGGTGGGGTCACCCTGG